TAATTTAATAGTGAAAGACTATGAATAGTTAAATATTTCAAATTTAAATTTATATAATATTATGTTTTTTTAACAATACAATAATTATGAATATTGTTACAAACAATAAGGTAATATGTAAAAAACAACTTAGCTATTTCAATATGTCGTGACTGAAATCACCCCATTTTATATTTCTATTATTATGAACCACTATAAAAGGCATTTGTATAGCAGGTGATCTACCAATTTACTAGAAGTGATCTACTACAAGATTTAGGTACCTATAATAATATGTACATTGTACATACCTATTGGCTATTAGGTTTAAAATATATTTCACCATTAATTATTAAGTTATTTTTTTATTTAGGATTATCAAATCAAATAAGAATTCATTCAAAAATACACAGTTTACCGCCATTGGTTACTGGTTAGTGCTACTATATGAAAATTATATTTCTATTATTATCAAAATCAGGCGTAGCTACATTATCATAATAGTAATACATTATAGTTTTTGGCTTAAATTGAGAAGTATGTAATAAGTAATAACTATAATAATTAATAGGTAAATAATAAAGAAGTAGAAGCGCACTTGATCGACTTTACAATTACTACTATGAAAGAAATGCACATTTATAAAATTTGATAGAGCACCTGCTAGATAAACACCCTTCAAAAATGTTACCATAATATTTAAAAGCCCAGGACTATGATAAATCTATTCCAAATTAAATGATACAGTTAGATCAAAATATTCGTTATGCAGTAATGCAAAATATGAGTTAAGATCATAACATGTATTCAAAAAAATTGAAACAAACTCAACTTAACCCCTAACTTAAAAAAATACAGTAAAATTTAAAAGTGGGACTAATAATATTTTAACGTGGTGGTAATAAATAGCTAACAACACCAATCAAACAGAAGAACTATTCAGTTGCAAAACACTAAAACAATATACTTTTAAATAAAAATATTTTTATGATACATAAATATCAGGATTAAGACATAGGTACCTACCTAATATTATAACAAAGTAGTTATTTAAATAAAATATTTAATAATACCATGTATAATAATGAAGGTGAGTAATTTATAATTCTTTTTTTAATTTTTTAGAAACATACATTTTACCACCCATTTAAGTATCAATGATTGATTGATGTTGTTAGCTAAATTAACTTAATTGTATAATATTTGTTAAAATTAAAAAAAAAAAAAAAAAAAAAAACATTAGCATGTACTATTTTCATTTAACATATTTTTAGTTTACTATATTATTGGGATTAAGTTTTTTCTGGAATGCAGATTGTCAGACTTGATTTTTAATCTTCTTTGAAATTAACTTGAGTAGTTGAGTATTTACTATCTAATAAATTAAAAAAGGATAAATATAACCAATTTATTTAACGGTAAAATAATATGTTTACATACTTAATTCATTTTGTAGTCTCTCCCAACTATTAAAATAGTAAATGGGAAACAAAATTTTCATTTGTCATTGTTCTCGTTTGGAAAATGTAATGGAAGATAGAAAATTATGTGATTGCAATATCTATCCCCAAATCATTTGGCCAAGTATATTTGTAGTAAATACAGATCAACTTAGTTCTTAACAATAATTACAATGCCAGAATGTAAAATTTGAATATATGCAACTTATAAGTACTTCTGAACAGAGAACATTATATTTTTAAGTATGTATATGATGTAGATAGGCAACCATCTTGTTGTGTCCAAGTAGATGGTAATAAGTAAATGAATAATATATGAAGTTGTATTAGGTTTGTGCTATGGTATATTGGTGTCGGCCAATAATTTTAAGAGTATAACAAATTTTGTGTTATCAAACTTTGAATAACATTTATTGGTGGTGTAACTGAATGAACTAAACTGATTTAACTGAAAATAAAATTTAAATAAAAACTGTTAAGACGTCATAATAATGTATAATAATGTATGTTGTATGTACAAATTAATGTATTAATCATAACAATTTTTCTACGTATACATTTTAAGAAAACTTACCAATAAACTTAATGTAGGTACAAATGTTGTGATTTCCAAGTTGTTGGTATTCATGTATTATCAAGTTTACATCACACTTCATAATATAAACTTAAATACATATATTTTTGATTGAAATATCAAATAAAATACATAAATATATCCCAAATTACGACTTAGGTATAATGTAATTTTAAGTTCAATGGAATATTTTTGACAAACTTAATGATTCAACAACTACCTATTTTGTTAGTTATACCTATTATGCTATTAAAGAAATTTAAACTGTCTGTCTACTTATAACGGTTTACAACATAAACTAACTATACATATGTATAGTTCAATTATTAATTACATTATACATTTAATATTTAACTATTTAAGTAATAGTGCTATGCTGCATGGCCACATGGTTTAGTATTTTACTTTACAAGTTTTAAAGTTCATTATCACTTATCAGTATTCAGTTAATTACAACCGATTGATTTTTCTGTACCATTATCATTAATTAATTAATATGATATAATATTTTAATCAATTCTATTATCTTATAAGACCGTGGTCATAGATAATGATAAAGGTATCGCCAAATATCGGTAATAGACAATAGTAATAAGATTATTATTGTTCTATGGTAATATGGAGGGGATCTGGTGCGACAGCCAATGTCAACAAAACGTAGCATTGGTCAAATTAGCATATAGGTGTAATGTACATTCAATTAATCAGGTTCAAAGTACAACAATTATCAATATGTTTAATGTTAGGTACCGTAGGTAGTTAGGTCGAACGGTATCGAATTTATCAGTTATAGCTTCTGGGCTTTACAAATGAAAAATTTTCCAGCGGTACCGACTTTCAACCACCAATCCTTTGAGGAGCTGTATCTCTCAAACCAATTAACAAATAATAAAAATGTTAACGCGTAAATTCATAAAAAAATGGTTTTATTAATTCATGATCTTTTTATTATATGTTACCATTTGAAAATCAAAAGTTGATAGTGGTTTCACCAATAAATATAAGGGTAAAAAAAATTAAAATAGTATAGAGTTTTAGAAAAGCATAAATCTAACAGTTTAAAAAAATAAAAAATAAAAAAAAGTTAATACTTTTCGAGATAATTAGTGTACCCACTTAAATGGATCACCCTGTATAGTTATACCTACCTATATAGTCATATAGATAAAAGTTATAAGATTAAAGTTGCAAGTAAAATTTTATTTAATAATTAGAAATTGAAATTGATTTTGTATAAATATATTGTTCTATAATAAAAGTAATAAACAAATAGTAGGAAAACAAACTTACAAATATTATTTACGGGGATTAAGCTCCAGTAAGACCTACTCTCTACCGTCCATGAATACAAACAGTGCGACCGTATCAGATGCACACGCCTTCTACTGCCCTAATTTTTTACCGGTTTTTTTTCTTCTCTTCAAAAACCAAAATGTATTAAATAAAAAAATAAATAGATTTAAATAAAATGAATCAATTTATTGAAATTATAGATTTGGATAACAAAATTACAATTATGACAAAATTATCAACGAATTGTATGTAAAGACGATTTGAATTTCTTTAATTTTTCAACAGGCATAATACATTTATGTTAATAATTTAGAAAAAAAATAAAACTTATAAGTTAGATACCTATCATTAATGTAGAATAATCATATATTAAGATAATTTTGCTATAGCGTATTCTATAATAAGGTATAATTAATTTTGATACAATAACATTTCTGTAACTCTATGTTTAAAAAATTGAAACAAAATTTGAAATTGTGCTTACAATATTTAGATTTTGGAATATATATTTCCGAAAACCATTTGTGGAGAGAGGGGGTCATAAGTGTTTCACCAACAGATCACCGAACTCACTCTATGAACAACGGGCGTCGCGTTCCAATGTTCCATAATATATTGTAAAAACAATTCTCATCAAACTACTTACCACGGTCCACAGCCCACGGCACCGGTTACTATTAACCGTGGTTAACTTTATCTTTAGATAACCGTACTTTTAACGTATAAATGGTCGTTAGATAATCTGTATCAGTTGCGCCATTTGTTTTGTGTAAATAGGGGTATGTAATGTCCGAAATATGTAAGCAAGCTAACTTTTTTCATCGTCAGACCATTTTTTCTTAATCGTAGTGAATACAGTATATATTTTTTGTATGTACCTATGATGCATGTATGGGGTAGAATGAGAGTTATATATTTTTTATTTTAACGGATTAAAAATAATTGAAAAGTTAGAAGTTGGAAAATGCTTTAGTCATGCATACTTGATACTTATAAATGTTATAACTTATAAGTTATAACCTTTATATATTAATATATTATATACCTAGGCGGCCAGGCAGTAGGCTATAATAAATATATATTGTCTCTGTATTCATTTCATATTATAATACCTACGCATTATGGTTTTAATAATATTATATTTTAACTTGTATGGTAAGTCAATAAGAAACACACAAAAGTAGTAGTGTCAAATTATACCTGCCACCCACCTAGTGCCGTGCTTGATCCATCTCTGAAAAATAGACTACAACGGTCTTAAAAAGTAAAATAGTTGTACGACATAACGTATTATATTTATATTTAAATAACATGTTAGCCTATAAGTATATTAAGTACCTACCAAACTACTGTAGCAGACCACTAAACAAATTAAATATTAAGGATTTGTCCAATGAAAGTATTAGGGATTTATCAATCTACCTAGTTATTTGGGTGGACTGGTGGGCTTAGCGAACCTATACGTAACCTCCGAACCCAGCTTTGACCCCCCCCCCCCCCATCCATCATCAAGAGTACGCAACTGGCTCCGCGAGTACTAAATTTTAATAATAATAATCTGTGACATATAGTCACGGCCCACGGGATTCGCACAGGTATGTATATAAGTAAATACAATATATTATTAAATATTATATATTTATTATTTATATATGACTATGTATTTCAAGAAAAACAGTGCCGTCTTAACTTACGTATAGGTCTGCGCGGACGCCCTCAGATGTTGAGGTAGCGATTCGAATATTTGCCTGAATTCTTCAAACTCGGAATCAGCCATTGTTTCTGCGTACAATATGCATGCGTATGTATTACACAGCGGTCGCTGTCGGTTTCTGTGCCTTAGAGAGATTATTATATCATTATAATAACACATGCATAATATTTATTAATATAATATTATCTCATCGGGGACACCGAAAAAACTGCCGACTCTCTACGGACGCGCACACGCATTGACACACACACGAACGATCGCCCCGCAAGTTGTAGGGTATTGATTATTGTCGTTTCCACCCTGTGCCTTATTATTACATTACTATCGCGCGCACTCCGTAGACCTTCCGGTTGGTCGTGCATAATATTCGAGAAGTATTTTTATTTTATACCGTGCTTCTTAACGGTAACGTTTTTATTTTCGAGGTAATTAATTATTACATTAATGTAATATTTTATTTTACACATACAATTTTATACCTAACAGTTTACGCGCGGTTTCGTCAATATTGGTTTTTTTATTTCTCCACCGTTTGAGAACCAATTGCGCAATGACGTGCATTTTGAGAACCAACGATGACAACAACACTACTTGCCGTTATCACACACGTCCCGCGTGTTACGCCGAAAAGGCGAAAACAGTGATAACTCGACCGTGATTATTTGCCGCGGTTGCCACTGATACGACGACGTTACGCTCACATGTAGAGCTATTAATTCGGCAGCGTCGAAACTTTCTTTTTGTTTCGGTTCCGAATCGATTTCGTACGCGATGAACACGAAAAGTTACATCTTAGACAACGGTGCATACACGGCCAAAGTTGGCCACACGGACGATGAGACGCCCAAGTAAGTCACAATGTGAACGATCACGTTGACATTGTTTAATGTAAGTGCCTACCTGTTTACAATATGTCTAATTAATATTACTGTTTTCAGGATTATACCCAATTATATTATGAAGGCCAAGAGTGAACGGCGGAGAACATTCATCGGCGATCAGCTTTCAGAGTGCCGAGACAAATCGGGACTGTACTTCATGTTGGGCTTTCAAAAGGTATTGTCGAAAATGGCGGTAGTAGTTTTTGGTGAATGTTAAAATACTTGCTATAGTAACTGTTCATTCAAATGTATTTTGTACACATCTTCCGTTTGATAGTAAGTTTAGTTACTTCTCTTCTAGGGTTACTTGTTGAACTGGGATATTCAGAAAACAGTATGGGATTACATATTCAGCAAAGATTGTTGCAAAGCCAACTTTTTAGAAATGCCACTAATTGTGACTGAACCATACTTCAATTTTAGTTCCATTCAAGAAGGAATGACAGAAATGTTTTTTGAAGAATATGAGTTCCAAGCTTTATTGCGAACTAATGGTAAATAAACTCCTTAATTCTACTAATTTTGCATAAGTACGTTAAAAATGGTTTTTTTTTTAGCTGGAAATCTATCTTGTTACCATTATCAACACGATAAACCATCCACCAAATGTTGCTTGGTTGTTGAAACCGGCTATAGTTTTACACATATTGTTCCTTACATTTTACAAAAAAAATTCAAGCCTGGTATGTTACGTGTCAATGTTGGTGGCAAAATTCTTACTAATCATTTGAAAGAAGTGATATCATACCGACAGTTACACGTTATGGAAGAAACATACGTTATGAATCAATGCAAGGAAGACTTGTGTTTTATGTCTACAGATTTCGATCGAGATCATAAAATTGCAAAAATGAAATGGCCCAAAAATACTATTGTCAGAGACTATGTTCTACCTGATTATACCACTGTGAATAGAGGAATTATAAGAACATTAGACGAGACCTCTGTGAGCAGAACTATAGATAAAGATCAAGTAAGTAGAAATTTTGATGCCCTTTTTTCGGGTGGGTATTTTTTATATTATTAATTGTTGCCATTTTTAACATTAGCAAGTTTTACGAATGAACAATGAACGTTTTACAATACCAGAAATCTTATTTCATCCAAATGATATTGGGATACCACAAATGGGTATATCAGAAGCAATCATTCTCAGTATAAATTTGTGTCCAGAAGAGACTAGACCTCATTTATATAACAACATCATTGTAACTGGTGGTAACGGTTGTTTTCCTGGTTTTGAAGAGCGTCTTACTAAAGAAGTGCGAGCTCTTGCTCCTGATGAATTTGATGTTTCAGTAACTGTACCTGAAAAGTAAACAAAATTATAAACTTAACAAAAATAAAATGTATTAATTCTTCTTAAATTTTCAGTCCCATTACATACGCTTGGCATGGAGGAAATTTACTAAGTAAAGATCCAGACTTTTTTTCGCTTGTGGTGACTAAAGAAGAATACGATGAAGAAGGATTTTCTGCTTGCCATCGATTTGATGTTTAAAGACAATAAGACTGAAAAAATTAAACATAAGTTATTATTTATTAATTATTACATATAAATGTTATAAATTTAGTTTAACTTCTATGAAACAAAGTGTATGAAAATACCAATAAAATTGTATTTTATGTATTTAAAAATAAAACTTTTTAGATGGTGAATTACTTTTTGACTAGGATATGTACTTATGTACTATTTTAATAGAATGTCTTATACTCTTATTTCTATTATCTATTTCTCAAAAAATGTTTATAGTTTTTGATATTTATTTAATTTTTCTTCTAATTTTTTTATAAAAAATATGTATGATAGGTAAAACTGTGATTGTTTTATCATTATTCAATTGTTTTAATATTGATTAAATATTATGTAATTAGTACTATGTAAAATAAAGATATTTTTGTACACAATATTTGCTTTTTTTCTTCTATTGATTAGTTTTGCTAGTGTTTTAGGTATAAAGTTTTAGGGGTTAAAGTGGGGAAAAATTCTAGAGGGTACTAATGTCTCCATATAGTTTTAAGCGTTCCGTATATGTATAATGTCTAATGTATAAAAACCTAATTTGTTAAAGGGAACGCTTTAACCCCTGTTTATTACTCAAAGAAAAAAAAATGTATGTTTAGTTGGCTAATGTTCTTCATTGACAACTTAACTATTTATTAATTACCATGTTATTGTAACCATTGAACAATATTTCCACTCGTTAAAACTTTACAAGCTGTGAACTATCTATCTATATTATTTAATATGATCATTACTAACAAATAATAATACCTAGGAAATCACTTTTTTTTTCAAATTGAAATATTTTAAAAATTACAAAAAATATACATTAATGTCACTATTTTGTTGGAATAAAAATACTACACTAAATATATTTTTCATAGAACAAAAATTTGTTACAGACTTGTTAAAATGGAACCAAAGCGATCTAGACTGCCGATGACTTGGACTTTAAGACCAGTGTTGCCGGAGAATGTAACAACTGATAGTATTACCACAGTGAATGTGTTTGTAGACACTATTATTAATCGAACCTCAACTAGCAAAATCGTTAAGAATCTTGGACAATTGTCTGTGATAAATTCTTTGACTCATCTTAAACGCGTTAAAAATCAAACAATCATACTAATGTTAGCCAACGATTTGGATCCAAACGAGTGTGTGGCAGAGTTGGAAAGCAGAGGATTTAACTTTGATGGCCTATCAGGTCGACCTGAGATAATTCCAGTCCCGGCTTACATGCCAAAAACATGTAGCCAGAACCTACAAGCTCGGAAGCTGTGGCCATGCAACTTTCATCCAGACAAACGACTAGAGTCAATATTGCGTGGTGATTTTTTTAACCAACTTGAACTTGCCACTATTGATGGATACATGAGGACGGCGTTGGCATGTGCGACTGGTGGAGTAGGTGCTGTGGTGGTCGATCCTTTGAACGATTTGATTGTAGCGCAAAGTGGTGATTTCCGTGCCGAACACCCTGTAAAGCATGCAATCATGTGCGTAGTAGATAAAGTGGCCAATGCTCAAGGAGGTGGAGCGTGGAACTCCTCGTCTACCATACCTAAAACACCTAGGGTCACTGATGACAAAACTGGGCCATACTTATGCACAGGATACGATGTGTATGTAACCAAAGAACCATGTGTGATGTGTGCTATGGCATTGGTGCACAGCAGGGCAAGAAGAGTATTCTATGGATTTGAGGATGACAGCAGGCCCGGAGGCTTAGGTGGATCAGTCAGCATACATCTCCTCAAAGGAATAAACCATCGATTTGAGGTTTTTGCCGGTGTTTTAGAAGAAGAATGCAGAACTGCAGCATTGGTTTTGCATACCAACAATATTGTTCAGAACATAAAACACACTGAGTAAATTGTTAAATAGGTACTAAAATCTACATAGATAATAAATGGACACATAATAATATGTATTATGTTTAAATGGTTGTTTTCAATATTGTTAATTGTTAGCATTTTTTACCAACGTATTTAGTTTGTAGGTACCTCACTAAATACCCAACATTATCCAATTTAATGACAAATTAAAATCTATACAACTAGGCATATCATAATATCCGGTGTCTATAGCTATACTACTGCGTAGCATTGAACAATTTATTTGATGTTTAAATTTCTAAGTAAAAAAAAAAAAAAATTAATTAACTTTCAAACCTCTTTTGATAGGTAATTGTAATAAATAAATACCTAGGTACCTAAATCAATTATATGTTACCACAGCACGGGCATGCGCCATGCGGGAAAATCGTTTTTGTACAGTATCATGTTCACGATGGTATAAGAACACAAATCACAATTGTTATTTGGATGCACAAAAATTATAAAAAAAATAAGTACCTTGTACCTATATAATGTAACGTAGAACGTAGCCAAGTAGGAACTAGGAAGTACTGTTGTAGGACGTAGGGAGGAACGGAAAAAAAGACCTGGAAAAACAGTCTTGGGGCAAAAAAGTTCATAAAACTAATGAAATATACAATTATTACAATTTGGAACATTCAAAATAAAACTTATAATATAACCACTTTGAATAAAATATTAGTTTTGTGTGAAAGATACGTTAGTAAAATTATAAAATCTACTATTCACATATTATTTATTATTTATTTTTATTTTTTATATCATGTATACAAAATAGTCCTTCGATTTCTACATATAGTAGGTACCTTATATTTTATCAAATTGGATCAAAATGTTACTTTAGATAAGTCATTTTTTGATTTTATCAATAGTTCTTTAATGCCATGGGAAAAACCACCGAAAAATTACCAAAAACCGCTAAAATTGGATTTTAATTTCTAACGCTTTGTCATCACCATAGAAACGAATAAAAAATAATAATATTGTTATAATACCATAAATAAACGTCTCCAATTATTAAACTGGACAAAATTAAAATTAAATTGTAACTAATTTTCAAGCCCACTGCCCACCCCATTGAAAAATCCTGCGGACGCCACTGGCTCTATACAATCATAAATACATTAAAAAAAATAATTTTGGGCGCATGCGTTTTTCTATGTGGCGCATAGGCTAGAACGAGTCAACAAATGCGATGACATCCTCTTAAAATGCAATACCTACATACTTAAACTATAGTCGATTAAATATGGGTTAATATAAAATTATACAATTTATAAGATATCCGCCACCTAGGTACTTAACTAAAATTACTCAAATTAATATACTATAAATGTATACAATATGAAATCAGAAATTAGTTTTTACAGGTAGCCAGCCAGCCAGGTAGGTAATAATTGAAATACTCAACCACCGTAATGCGTTAAATAAATGTTTTAAAATCTAACATGCTTATTTTTAAATATACTTATTTTTGAAATCAAAATATAATTTAAAAAAAATGTACTCCTTATTCCTATACAGGCAAAGAATCTTTGACCATACTGCAGAAAAAAATTCAACGCACAACGGGAGACCATTGAAACGGTAGTCAAGATTCAAAATATATTTTTAATGTATTAGAAAAATAACTTTGAAGTCTGAGGGGAATAAATTATAGCATGTGAAACAAATAAATTTTATTATTACACTTATGCTTTACTAGTTTGTGTAAAATATAGGAATAATAAAAATAAATAAATAGCAGCATACTTAGTACCTTAAGTACCTACTATCTACCTAGTATTAGATATAAGTATATAACACATTTTTAGCAGATTAAGATGTAACTTAATTGTATGATTAATACAAGACAGTGTCAGATACACTAAAAATCTACTCATAACTCATAAGTTCAAATTAATATAGTTAAATTCTTAAGATCAAATAATGAAAACATTAATACAATGTTTAATATTAAGTATGTATATAGTTCTGAGAATATTATGACTTGTAAAATATTTTAATTGTATATTTCATATTTAAGAAGAAATTATTAAATGATTACTGAAGAAACCATTTGATTGACTCGAAAAATGCCATCACCTCTGTAGAGCAAGTGGTAACCCTATGACAAAAATTATATTATAAATTATAATATTTTATAATTCAAAATTTCAAAGTTAATCCCCATTAAACAATTAATTAATTAATAGGATAAACAAACAACCAACAAACTCATTGTATTTAAGTAAAATCATGGTTCATATTTGTCCGTACTATTTGGACCATTTATCTAACTGTTAAAAATAAGTATCACATAAGTCATCACGTTACATCTGTACAGTTGCGTACCTAGGGGGGGTAGAGGTTCAACCCCCCCTGGCCTAAAACCATATCACAGTCCACAGCATTTGTTTAACTTTTATATTATATTTATAGTTTTTTATATGTAGATATGAAATATGACGTAACTACTTTTAGGCAGCTTTATAACTTTAAAGTTTTAATACCACAGAATAGATTAAATTAATACTAAAAATTACTATGATATAAATTATAAATTATAAATTATTATAATATGACTTTTTGGTGAGTAAATGGCACCAGACTAGATGTTTATATCTAGCAATATCGCCAATATCTGACACATTTAACATTTAAATCTATACAAAACTGTACTGGCACCATACAAAAATTAGGCATGCGTATTTTTTAAATGCCTATAATAGGTACCCAAAATGCAGTGTTGGGGAGTAACTTAACTTAAGTTACAAGTTACTGTAACCAGGGCCGGTTATAGGCGTAGGCGACGTAGGCACAAGCCTACGGCGGCAAAATTTATAACTACCTATATAGAGGCGGCATATAAGAAAAAATCAAATATCTTATTTTTCACATTTATTTTAGATTTTAACAAATTTCAAAATACAATATACAAACACATTGTGTAGATCGATAAAACTCCAAAACAATATTCAATAAAAATAATACAGATAATTTTTCCCTGAATTGCGATAACGTCTCAAAGCATGTTGTGCCATTACAATTTAATCGATAATAATTCTATTAGCGTTTTTGCAATTAGAGACTGTTGTGTGTCATTCACTCTCACTGTACAGTGTAGTGTACTAGTGTAGGTACATTCTTTATTGAGCTCAACAATATAATTTTTTTATAAATCAAGACATATACGATATACATCTATCAAGACTTCATTGAAAAATTAATAAGTTTCAAATTTTTATGTAGTTTAGTAATTTGGTATGATTTATTATGCGAAATTAATGTCACTAGTAAACTATTACAATCTACATCATTAAATATTATCGAATCAATCAATCAGATAAACAATACCAAAATATTTTTACAAAAATATCGTAGTGATGAAAATTTTGAAAAAATACTTACACAAGCAAGTTACTTAGCAAATGAACTTGGTGTACAAGATAGTTTTTCGTTAAATCAATTTCGAACTCGACGTAGAAAAACTCATTTTGATTACGAATCTCGTGATACTCCTATAACAGATCCTAAACAGAATTTCAAAATAAATTTTTTTCATCAAATATTAGACAATATGCTCCAATCAATAAATTACCGATTTATTCAACTTGAAGACCATAGTAAATTATTTTCATTTCTTTATAATATTTCTAATGTCAATAATTATGAACATTTAATGAAGTGCTGTAAAGATCTTCAGCTAGCACTTTCTTCAAATGACGGTTTAAATTCTGATATAAATTCTGTCGAACTTTGTGAAGAAATAAATACATTACAAAAACATTTGAAAAATGAAAATGATCCAAAAGCAATTTTACAATTTATATGTGAAAACAAATTAATAGAATTATTTCCTAATGTATACGTAGCTCTAAGAATTTTATTAACATTACCAGTAACTGCAGCTTCAGCTGAAAGAAGCTTTTCAAAATTAAAAATTGTAAAGAACTACTTAAGATAACAAATTTCATAGGATCGTTTAGTTGGATTGGCAACAATTTCAATTGAAAATCAAATTGCGAATGATCTTGACATTGACGATTTAGTTAAAGATTTTGCGTCAGCAAAAGCAAGAAAAATACATTTTTAAAAATTATAACTAAATATTGTATTTCATAATAACTATTGTAATACCTTACAAACAATCCATGTACTATTAATTTAGTAATTTCTTTTTTATTATATAATAATTGACAAGTGTAAAAAGTTTTTAATTTTTTTGCTCCTACATAATATGACATTTATCTAGGTATGTAAGTTATAATAAAATAAGAGGCGGCAATTTTGATCTTTGCCTACATATAAAAAATTGCTTGCGCCGGCCCTGACTGTAACGAAATTACTTTTTAAGTAATTTGATGGTAATTTAATTACATTTTATTCTAAGTAATTTATATGTAATTTAAGTTACTTTTTTGTAGTAATTTTTACTAAATTACTCGTTACTTATTTTTGGATTAATACATTTTTTAGAACGTACCTATTGATAATATTGTGTGTAGGTAAATATTAAAATATATCATAATATAACTTATTAGTATTTTAATTTATAGGTAAAATTGTATGAACTGTAGGTACTATTTTTGTTATAGCTATTGACAGTTCGACTATAAAGTGTTACTTTTAGAATGGAATTCTTATCTTTACTCTGTACTCTGTGTTGTATCGTCGCGGACGGCTCACGGCGTCAGCGTCTGCGTATACGGTATACAGCATTGTTGGAACTATCAATAAATAGTAATAAATAATAATAATAAAAGTGAGGGAGACGGAGTGGCCGAGCGGACTAAGGCGTTGGTGGCAACGCGCACCGTAGCTGGTTGGAATCTCGGTAACGGGCAGACTACAGGTGCCCAATTTGAAATTCTTTCAAGCTAAAACACACGTGTTTACAAAAACCTACCCCGTACCCTCCATCTCAGTTAAAAACCACCCAATTGCTGCGGGTTAGTTAATATAAAAAAAAAATAATTAATAAATAAATGTGTGGCTTGGCTGCTAGCTACCAGTCGCGCAATACGACTGAGAGTAAGTTGCGCCCGCTGCTACTAGTTCCCGGATGGGTGACCACCCGGATTCGTAGTAGTAAAAACCTTGCCACACTTACACGTGTTTACTACATACCGTAACAACACCTTACCATACCAAATTTACCAACCACAGTTTATAATCCCCTACAACAGCTTATGGCCATAGTTTCCGGGCTTAAGTTCAATAAAAATAATAATAATAATAATAGTGTAGCAAAATGAGTATCTGCTAATAATTTCACATTTTTGATTGGTATTACCTATTGAGTTTATGTATTGTTATATTGACAACATGATTATTAAGCTCCAGTGATATTTTTTAAAAAAAGTAACTTCTATTGTAATTCAGTTACTTTTTAAACTCAAAAGTAATATGTAACTTAAACATATTAAAAAAAAAGTAACTTAAAAATAATTTAGTTACAATTTTGATAAGTAATTAGTAATGTAATTTAATTACCAAAAATAAGTAACTTCCCCAACACTGCCAAAATGACAAAACGTAATGTTACAATGTTACATACTTAGATTCTATAAAACGTGTTTGTCCTAGATCACAGATTACTTAATTAAAATTACTTTGTCTAACAAGATGGGTCGATCGGCGTGACTCCATAAATACTTTTATGGAATTATTAGTTGCTAATAAATCGACAATATACTTTCCTAGTTCCAATGATAAATATATTAATATATATATAAATAAAATATTTACAAAATAACTATAGCTATAGACAAACAGTTTTAAAAGATAAACTAATGTCTAATATAAGTTATAACAAGTATTTACAATCAATCATATTACCTATAGTAACCTACCTGTAGTCAGGCTACAGAATACAGACATACCTATAATAGTAATACGTATGTACATCTACGTATCAAACTATAAATAATTATTTTTATTAGTTTGTCAATACCCTACCATGACCTATGAATATAAATATATAATAGGTATTATAGGTACTAGGTAGGTAGTAGGTACCTACCTATTATTGTAAATTCGTGAGGACGTGACCGCGACGTCTTATTTAGTGATTTCCCAGTCAGGGCTATTATTATAGACTTATTAATACTTCAGACTTCTTTATATGTCTTTATGGTTAATACTTATTTATTAATTAATTTTTAAATATTGTTAACAATTATCATTATTAAGCTGTTTTCAATTATCAGAATCAGTATTATTATGTGTTGTCTCCCTCTTACAAATGTACAACATAGCAAAAACTCTTTTGCGAGGGACAACTTTTCTCGCACCATATGTCCATATTTGTTGTAGAACTACCAAATTTTCACAGCACTTAAAGAAGAACTTTATCTGTGCAACAGCGTGCTCTTTTTTCAATAGCATTTTTTTTTAATAATCATTTTTTATAAGCAAATTAAAAAACCAAATGTTTAGAAGCAAATAACTTGTATTGTATATATGTTATTGAAAAAAAGCACGCTGATACACAGATAAAGTTCTTCTTTAAGTGCTGTGAAAATTTGGTAGTTCTACAACAAATATGGTGCGAGAAAAGTTGTCCCTCGCAAAAGAGTTTTTGCTATGTTGTACATTTGTAAGACGGAGACAACACATACGGGTGTGGCGTCCTCTTAAATATAATTTTACAGACGTACAGAGGTAGGTAACATATTTTTAGGAAAACCAGTTAAAACCAAGCGGGAGAATTGAAGAAATAATACAAGAGAGCAGTTATCAAGCCCGAGATTTAAACCGATGATAAATTGAACTCAATACTCAATAGTCAGTAGTCAGTTGTCAGTACGAGGTAGACCGTAGACCATTGATATATCATGCCGTAGACGCTAGTCGTCAGTCGGTCTGCCTGTTGTCAATTTCAAGATACAAGTTGCCGATTATTGTTATTTGTTGGTAATTATTAATTAATGTTCGATATACTTTAAACATTAACAAAGTAAGTATTTTAATTTTCACACTTCATTAATAAACGCGTAAGTTTATGATTATTAAAATAACATTTAAGAGCATCATGAGGAAAACATCTACTACATGTCTACATAAGTACTTTAAAATTCTTAGCGGAATGAATAGTATGTATTGATTTTCCGATGTGTTTTATAATTTTATATTATTATTTTTTTTTGCCTGTCACCACCTTTAAAATTAGTAATAACTAATAATGCTTCGATTAAAATACATTTTCTACTTCATCGTCTTTACTCTTTTCTGGTAGAACGTGATTCTAGTTGGTTTTTTTGGAGGATAAAAACTATTAAAAAGTAAGAAATTACTACCTAGTCATATTGATAGGGGGATCGGGTTTAAAAAAAAAAGTTAAGGAATTAAAGGAATTTTTACTCAAAAACCATTTTTTGGTAAAATCTATTTTATTTTTTTGAAGTAACTCTGACACTTTTTATATTAGATAGGTAGGTACTTAAAATTTCATCAAAATATGTTAATATTATGTTATTTTTTCATACATCATAAATTTACAAAATATTTTAACTCTTATTGAGCTATAACTATCAGAAATTTGTTTTCAATTATTGTTAATTGTTATATTATATTCCCAGTAAAAACAAAAATTATTAGTTAAGCTCATATTATGTAATAAGAATATGGGTTAGATCCTTTGTACAAAAACACTAATGCTAATACTTAATATAAACATTGTAAAATACTCACCTGACAATAACTTATTAGGGTTAAATATATTTTGTTAATAACTAATGTTAGTAACATAAATACATAATATAATAATTAAACAAAACCTTTGTCACAAAATATTTATTATGAAAAAAAAAAAATAAATAAAAATAAGAAATAAAAACACAATATTATAATTAAACAAAATCTTTGTCACAAAATATTTATTATAAAAAAAAAAAAAAAGAACCAAAAATAAGAAATAAGAACATAATAATATTATCACCATAGTTATGACAATGTTACAGTTTTTATATAATCCAATTATTAATTAACCAAAATATTTATAATAATATTAATATTAAGTCCCTAATGTGGCTGAGCTGAAAACATTCAGGTGAAGAGTAAGGGAGAGATATACATTTTTTTCATTATGCCATGTCATATATAATAAATAGGACATAGGTACCTACTAAACAGTTAATGGTATATAATATACATAAATAATATAAAATATTGTGAGTAGGTACATCTTAGATTGTGATAAAATGAGATTACCTATTAAATACCAGCTCGAAGCATGTTAAATAATTTAAAATAATAAAATTATTGGTACCTGTTTAATCAAAAATACGAATTACATTTGTGATCAAATTGTTGCAGATTGGACATCGATTGGTAATTTGATATGCACGGTCTGAACACAGACACTTGTGTCCACAAGGCAAGCACGCATGTGTTTTTTGATTACTAAGTCAAATATCACAGCAATTTATTTGCCTTGGTAATGCAAAAGAATTGTTGATTGGGACATAAGGGACATTCTCCAGTTCCCTTGCCATTCTCTGTGCTTCCATTTCACGAATGGCATATGGAACACTGGATCCCTGTTTTCGTCGATCTCAAAATCAGCCACATCTTGAACTGAAAATAGACATAGGTAAAAACATATAATATATTTTGTAATTAAAATTTTCATGCTGGGTGTTATTAAATATATTTTAATTAAAAACTAACCAGGAAACTGTTCGGCATTTTGTTGTTGCTGCTCGAACCGGTCTTGCATTTGAACACCAAGCCCTATAGTTAACAATTCAAAATATATTTGTAAGTACTTAAATGGTTTATTTTGAGCTGAAATATTTTTAATTTAATAAAAATCAAACCTCCAACAACATTGTTTTGTACATTTTCCGTTACAATTTGTTCTGAAATGTTATTTATACAAAATAATAATTAGATAATTGCATTTTGACATTGTGAACATTGAGCCATGAATATTTTGATTATTTTTTTACTTACCTTTAATAGTTTCCAAGATGTGGGGAGGTACGATTCCATTGTGAACCTCGACATTGCGAACCCCACGTCTTCGTTCTAAGAAATACAATTTTTTATGTAAATATTGTATGTTGCCCAAAATGATGATTTTTTTTATTTAGATTCACTTGAAAATTACTAATTATCTTTTAATTTCTTTTAGATATTGTATAGTTCATACCTGCATCATAAGCCAGATGCCCAGTGTAAAACAAAAATTCTTTGACAGAAATTCTTCTCTGGGCCAACCGTTCACATGCAGCACTGATTTTCCTGTCAAGTTGAACATAAGCTTGACGTCTGGCTCTTAGAGTTGGCCTTTGTTGTATTCTCTCATATTTTGTCCCATATTCTTTTTTAATTTTGATCAATGTTTCTATTGATATTATTCATTGAAGTATTTTAATTTATTGCATTAATTAGTAGAAACTAGAGTGGAAGAAAAGTATATTATATTATATGACTTTCGATTGGTTTGGAAAAAAAAACTCAATAACTAGGGAAGAATAAAGAACATTATTTAACATGAATTAAAATATTTTTAAAACAGGTTGGTTTTTGTCAATTTCATCTACTATATAAGTCATATAATAAGTTTAAAGGTATACAAATGTACTGAGGTTTTTTAAAAACTAATTCATTTAATAAAAAAAAAAAATTTTTTCGAAGGGTTCAAAATAATGATTATGTATGTGTAGAATATTAAAATATAACTTTCAATAATGTAAATGTGTTGATTTTATTTTTATAGTGATGTTACATTTAACTTACTAGTAAAATGCCAAATACCAGGACGTGGACAATTCATAATGGCGTTTAAATGGCGGTGAAATATTTCCTGGTCATTATTAGTTCTTCTTGGCATGCCATGTACAGAAAAGGATTCTGGTCCAACACCTAATGTTAATTAATATTATTAAGGATAAAGACTTCTTAAGGTGAGGTTAAAAATATTGTGTTTAGGTAGGTAATTGTTGTAATTATGTTAAAAAAAATCTGTAACTGGTTTGACTGAATATGAACACAAATGCCGGGTCACATGAACAATTTATTAATTTAATGGACCAATCACGATTCACGGGCCATTAAATCAAGTTAAGGGACCATTAACTCGCTATTGATTCGTTAAATGTTTAGTGATTGTTCATGCAACCCGGTAAAACTTACAGAAAAAACAAAGTTACGATTTATTTTTATTTAATTACTTATGATTTAACTTTTAAAATTAGATACTTAGTAATCTCAATACATACATTCATTTATAAGGATTAATTTAAAGAATAAATTGTGACTAAATAGATATTAAGACTTAATTTTTATCATAATTTATTATTGGAATAGTAAAACTGAAGTGTTCACTATCTGTAAAATAAATGGATATAAGAAAAATTGAGTTTTAAAATTCTATTGGTAAATCTAAAAAGTTACAAATTATTGTCATGATCACATATGTATTACCTATTTAATAGTTTTAATTTTTAAACAAATTTTAAAAATTAAATGATAATTCTTTTAGAATAACTCACGTTCCATCCACTGATTTCTAAAATATGATATGTATCGTTCAGCAACCTCAACATTCTGAGAATGTCTAGCCTCCTGGACCACCACTTCAAACCCTTCAGCAATCTTTTCAGCTGGCAAAAGTGAGAGAGCTTTTGACATACGAAGCATAGTATGCAGCGCATTGTCAGTTCTGTATACTTGTCTTCGTATGCCAAAGTCTTTGGCATTTTTTTCAAGTGCCTATGTATATAAAAGTAATTGTTTTGGAAACTTATTTCATTATAACATTATTTAATATTTAATCTTTAAACGGCACAATACCATAAATTAAAATATCTAAATTTTACCTAATAGAATTAAAATTGTTAAGTTTTTTAGGAAATCTTACTTGAGCCATGTGAAACCAGCATTTCTGTAAACTGGCTCCTGAAAAAACATTGGTCAATGCATTGCTCAACCCTACCTCATAGTCTGTTACAATGTTTGTGGCACTAATACCGGGAACACAGAGTCCTAATGTGTTGTAGCACACTGGTGTATGCCGCTTCAGTTTTTCGCGTCATAAGAGCATATGCAACTGGAAATGCCTGTTAAAATAAACAGAGTAGGTGGTAGGTAAGTTAGTTTATAAAAAGTTGGTATAATGTATTAAAATATAACATTAGTTATGTATTAATGTTTAAACAAAGTTTACCTGGTCCATGTACATGGCCATAATTATTAACAATTGTTCTGTTGCTGGAACCAGAGGCCTACTCTTAAACGTTGCATCAACATGTATTTCTCGAGCAGAAGTAAAAAGGCTAAAAATTGTTTAAATTAAGATAATTGTTGAATATACAAAAGCGTAGATTTATATTCTAACATTCCTAACATTATGTTCTTGACATACAGTTAAAATTAATTACTTTTCTAGGGACGGAGAGATGAATACGACTGCTGATCCGGCATCAGGAGCACCCATTACAAATCCTTTGAACATTGCTCGTCCGTTAGCCGTTCTAAACAGGTGACTGTAGCGAGGATCTACCAAATCACCTGCATACTCCATTAGATCATTTGGAATTTTCGGTTGAGCTGCAGCTATTGCCCTCTCCATACTTCTTAAAAATGAAGTGTACTCCAAACGATTTTCCAAGCCTTGTGTTCTAAACAGGTAATGTAAGATACAAATAAAATAAAATATATGTGCAACGTTTTTTTAAAAAATAAAAGTACTGCTTCCGCCACTTCATAATTATTAAATGAAAAGACAAAATTACTACCTTGATGTCTCTTCTTCATAAATTATCCTATGTGGGGTACATTCTTCTGCACACCTTCGTAAAATATTTTTTTTCAGATTTACCAGTGCCGAGTAACCCATGTCAGGATCATGTGTATGGGTACGCTTTTCATGCAATAAATTGTCCACAATGAGACCTTTAAGAAATTGGTAATACAGTAGACGCCGCTTATAAGACTCACGGATATAAGGTTCAGTCGCTTATTAGACTCAAAATCGTCTGGAACGGTCCGGACGTATCCAAATACATTTAAAAAAAAATCGGTTATAAGACTCAAATTTCGTAAAATAAATAGTAGAAAATAAACTTTTTTGGTTATAATTTAGAAATAAATTGGTATTGAAAAATTAAATAATATTTGTGTTGATTATTTCTAGTTTCTGGTGGTACTTTATAACGTATAATAAAAATAAATAATAAATACATTATAATATAATGTACATACATCTTTTATAATATTTTATTAATGTATAATTTTTATAATATTTTTATATGTAATATTTACCTATTATAATTTTAGTTTTTTTTTATCAGGATTATTAAATTTATTCAATAATAAAGTATGTAATATGTAATATGTGTTAAAGTATTAAAATCAAAGCAAAATATGTAGTAAAATAAAATTTATAAATACGTAATTAATTTTTTTTTTCCACTTCGCCTATAAGATTCATTCGGTTATAAGACTGACTTTGTGCTGGTCCCAAAGTGAGTCTTATAAGCGGCGTCTACTGTACAATAATTGGTAATAAACCTATTTGCAAAACTTTTTCACAAAAATTATCATATTTATTACATACAAAACTTATTTCAATAATTAAATCTGTTAAATGTATTTACTTACTATTCGCATAAGGTATCTATAAAAACTTTAATTTTTCCAAATAGTATTTATTAAGACCAACTATTTTAACATAAATTAATTTTTTTTTTTAAATATTATATTATAAGTACTAGAGTGCCTAGTGTATTTTTCATCTCCGGAGAGTCCTACAGTCCTTTTTATTTAAAAGTACAAAATAACATGCAAAATACTCAGTCTCCAACCTCCTAGCTCAAGTTGTGAAATTGATTTCGTCCTAATTAAAATAATTACTACTAACATTTATTGAGTATAACATATTTAATTACCAGTAGCAGTACAGTATGTTGTTAAGCATTGTAGCGATTTTGAATTGGGCCTAGAACATTTAAGTTTGTAGAAATATCCATTGTTGCAGTGGACAATTTTACTATTTGTCCTGAATCCTTCAATTGTGACGAATTCCATCATATAAATTCCAACGTAAATTATTGTATAAGAATGAAATGGTCAATAGTTAGGAAATGAGTAAAAAACGTGTCCGAAATAAGTTGATCAACTTGGTTAAAACGTTATTACACAAATGAGAAATCGTCGATGGACGGACGATGTTCTATTGTTACTTGGTGCTAATCGCGCTTTTTAATTTTGTAGTATTTACATGTTTTATTTTAAGACGTTAAAAAACAACAACACTGTTTAAAAAAAAAAAAAATATTTTGCTGTAGGTACCCCTCGTAGTTGGTAGAGCCACTCCACGCCACACACCACCACTTGTAATCTTTAAATATTTATATTATAATATCTCGTAAGCTAATCGTCTAAATTTAGTTTTTATACAATGTGTCAATGTCACAATGATAAGTACACCGAATAATAATCTGTTTCGGAATATTAAATAAAAAATAAGTATAAAATGTGATTGTATGTGACAATGGTTCACGAATATTGGATATAATTTTAATATCGGCTATCGATAACTATTTGTCGTTATTACAAATTAGCCTAAATCTGCAGGTAGGTACATGGTTTGTTGACTGAAATTTTAGGATTGCCTTTAAATTTTTAAACAATTATACCCAATGACTTAATAAATTAAATATTTGTTACCGCAGTCAGAATAGTAGTACCTATATTCCTTTCATCGGAAAAGTGAATCTACATATTATTTTGAACAAATATCTAGTGTTGCATATTGTTTTTAAAAGAATGTGCAAGACTCGATTTGTACAAAGATCCAATATTTTGACATTTAGATTTTGAAGTACCTATAGCAGTCAATTACTGCAAAACATATTTTCGGAATCCATATTACGATATAATATTTATAGAGGACATCGCAATAATGTTTTCTCTCTGACCCAATCGCAACATTGACAAACGCTTTCACCAAACAATTTTTTATAACGACTCATCTTAGAGTAAAATCACCTATAAACAGATGCGTATTCATTACTTCACACACCCCCAAAAAATATAAGCCTTTTTCTAAACAATGATATATGTACCTAGGTATATTATATATATGTATATTTTAAAAAAAGGTACCTTTTAAGTTCTCAGCTATACGGCTATACCTGTTCATGTAACCATTATAGGCTGTAAACTTATAAAGCCGAATCAAAAATTGGCTACGAACGAGTATGCTACGAAACAATATAATACCTATTAGTAGCCTTTTATTAAATTAGCTATGGAATTTGTATTTGGGGATAGGCATACAACTTGCATACTTATCGTCTTAATAGGTTACCTTAAATAGATTAATTACATTTTTATTACTAAAGCCTAGGTATTATAACAATAATTCTTCATATTTAGATATTAATGTATCACCCACAAATAGTTTATATTTTAGTAATACTTTACTTGGTTTATTTAAATTTAGACAAGGTAAATCCCTTGTATAATACGCGTTATAAAAAAAAATGTCAATATATCTAAAAATTTAATAAGCAAATTGGAACCAAATTTTGTATATATTATGTTGAAATTCAAATATGTAGACTTCTAAAAATTAATATTCATGACTTTTAATTTAAATACATTTAAGACATATAAAAAAAAATTGATTTTTCTGAAATTTACCTATTTTAATTTAGTATTGGTATTTGTATTAAAATTTATTTTTTATGGAATCATATTTGCTTGTACAACATTTTGTACACTAAAAATTAATTAATGTATAATTTGTAAAACGTTGATTGTAATGAATTCAAATTTTTCATCCCCTCCACAAGCATTATGCTTATAAGGGAGTTCGCATCTCTTTTTTTTTTAATTTTATTATATTATTTCATATGTATATTATTATTTGTTTTGCGAGAAATAAAGGTTAAACATTTTTATTATTATATGGTTTTATATTTAATATTTTAATTATTGTTTGACTTTGTATTCGACTTTCGAAATAAAAAAAAGGTTAATTTAAATTATGTTTAAATTGTTATGAGACAATATTTAGACAAACCGATGTAAATATCCCCCCCAAGGTTCTTTATTTTTTTACATATTAGTAATACACGTTTTGTCTACTTTTGGTATGTGTTTGTGTTTTCAATATTGACTTGGTACCTAGTTATTATTTTATTTTTTTTTTTGCAATTTTTCTTTATCCTGATTATTGATTCCACCAGTCATAAACAATATTATTATTTATCACTGATAATTATAACATGTAACAGGCAATTCGCTTTACAATTGATTTGTACTGTATTTTTGTAAACAATCACTCCGTCAACTTTATAAATTCCCAGCGTCAGAAAAAATGTAAAGGTAAGAGCACAATGATAACACCACAGTGATAAAATAAAATAAATAATTTAAACCAGGGATGGAAAACGATTTAAAATACGTTAGTAAACGGAAAAAAAAACGAAAACAATGAATAAAACAAAAACAAAAAACCATAACAAAAAATCCCAAAAACAGAAAAAAAATTAATTACGAAATCAAAAACGAAAACCCAAATAAATTATAGTATTATACATTATTATATTTTATAACACGAAAAAAAATGTTACTTTAGTATTTACTTTTTAATCTTTACCAACAATGCTCTATTAAAATTTAAAAACATTTTTATTTGAAATCAAGAATAATTAATTTTAATTTTTAACTCTTAAGTGCATTTCGAAATTGCTAAATTTACTACTATAAAAAAAAAACAATATTATCAAAAACAATATAGAAAAATAACGTTTTTAAAAACGTTAATCAAAAACAAAAACGAAAAAATTAAAAACATTTTCCATTCCTGATTTAAACTGATTCATAGCATTCTTTTATAGTTTAAATAAAAAGAACAAT